CCGACAATAACGTAGTCGGACATCCCCACTTGGTCATGTATTGGTTGACGAAGATGTGAGCCGTCCCTCTCGCCGTAAATTCCGCCGCTGTACAGAACAACAAAATGTAGGAGTTGCCCTTGGCAGTCACTAGCAGAGGTCCGAAGAAGTCGACGCCAACGACCGTACCAGGCCCCTGCGGCCATGGCATAGCGATGACGGGCCACCGAGCAGTCTGACGTGAAGTCTTGCGAGCTTGACACACCAAACACGCCCGAAGCCACCAGCGCACGGAACGATCCAAACCAATCCACCAGTAGAAGCGCTCGAGCAGACGCTGTGTACGATGGACGCCGAGATGGAATGACGCGGCCGTATGGCATGCATGAAGGACCCACGGACGCATCAGCATTGGCACGTAGACACGGGGCACGCCAGTATCCGGCAGACGAGTGGTCCTGCCGCCAGAGCGCCCAACCGGCGACGTCGCCGATTTATGTACGAGGAGGGTGATGTTGTCATCGGTCGTGTGCAGTCTGGTTTTCGCCGCCAACACAAGCACATCATCTAACCGAGGGGAGCGAAGAGGAGCACAGAGAGTGAGCAAGCCCGGAGGGGGTGGGGAGGGAGGACCGCGAGACAAAAAACACGTAGCCACCACACACTCGCTCTCCCGCTACTGTCCCCTAGCCCAGTCCACAGTGCTGAAACTCTGAACACAAGCCCGCAAGTGGGAGGTGTCCAAATCAGAAGATTCCGAAAAAAAATCAGGCGATCCAACGGAAGAGGCGGAAGAAGGCGAAGCCTCAGCGACTGGGGCAGCCGCAGTCCGTGGTGATGTCCGCGAAGGGGACATCGTGAGCGGCGAAGTCCCGGGCGAAACCTGTAGAGAAGGCGAAGTCGGGGATGCAGGGCGCGCCGCTGACGGCGAAGACACCGGTGGCGCAAGAGCAGTCGACGAAAACGCCGATGCCGGCGTTGCGGATGGCGGCAGCAGACGCGCGGCGGTCCGGGTGGTCTTGTTTGTCGAGCGGGACCTGCTTGTCGAGCGGGACCTGCTGGAATGACGGGCAGGTGACGATGTCCGAGGGACGATGGTAGCCCGCGACTGGCGTCCGAAATAGGCGCGACCGGTGACGGAGCCTCCGGAAACAGCGGTAGTTTTGGCCCGAGTCCGTGAAGAAATGAGCGGTCCCTGCTCCGGAAGCGAAGACAAAACGTGCACATATCTAGTCGCCAAAGACGCGACAGGAGACATCACGCGGGACGCATCCGAAGTCAATGAGGAAGCAGGCCCTAGAGATGCGAGAACAGGCGAGACGATGAAGACCCCCGGGGACCGCTGAGAATTTTCGCAGGCAATCTTTGAGTCCGTCAGAGCATCCACCCGACGCGGGTGATGTCGGCGAAAATCCCCAAAATCGGAGGGCTGCAACGCTGGGGGCGAAAAGACTCCTGCCGTGCAAGGAGGGCGGAGCCCACCCAAACCGACCTCCGGTGTAGACGACGAGTGATAGTTGCGCCCGCAAGCCCAAATGAGGAAAACACCCGCTTGATCGACACCATCAATGCAGTCGGGGCCGGTTTTGTCCGTGTCTTGTGCTGGTAAAGGCAACCGCGAAAGAAAATCCGCGTTGCCGTTTGCCAAACCTTTCCGATATTTCAGCGGGTAGGTGAAGTTGGACAGGAATTCCAGCCATCGTTGCACTCTAGCGTTGTGTTCCCCAACCTTGCCAATGCTCTCCAATGCTTTGTGGTCCGAATAGATGATGAACTTGGTCGACCACAGATAACCGCGATGGCGTTTGATGGCCCAAACAATGCCACCAGCCTCCAGATCCAAAACGGTCCAGTTACGCTCCGCAGGAAGAGTAGCGCGGCTGATGTACACGATGGGTCTCACCGAGCCATCGAGCTGTTCTTGTTCCAAGGAGGCGCCAAAACCGTCGATACACGCGTCGGAACACAAACGAAGAGGACGGCTGTTGTCCTCGATTGCTGCCCAATCCGGGAAGACCAAAATCGGGGGGCGAGCGAGTTCGCTTAACAACGTTTTGACAACCTTGACCATGCCCGGGGTGTACTTGAAGGGGACGCCTTGTTTGAGAAGAGGATTGAGAGGCCGCACCTTGGTGGCGAGATTCTTGAGGAATCTCCGATAGTAACTGAGTCCACCGAGAAGGCCCCGAAGCTGCTGAACATTCGTCGGCGGCGGCATGTGCGTGAGCGCCCTAACCTTGACGCCATCAGGGCTAACACCTGCCGGAGAGATGGTGTGACCGAGAAAGTTGGCGTGCGTGGCGCCGACGCGACCCTTCCCTGGAGACAGTTTGAGGTTGTACTGTCGCAGTCGTTTGAAGAACTCGATCAAGTTCAGCACGTGTCCCAGAGGTTCCTCATCGAAACAGATGACATCGTCCAGATAAGCAAGCACACGCTCCAGACCGTGCACCACTCTGTTGATGACCTTGACGAACCAAGACGGACTTGCGTTGGCGCCCTGCGGCATCCGAAGCCATTCGAACAACTGCGTGGGAGTGCAAAAGGCGGTGAGCGGGACAGTGTCTTCATCACAAATGATCTGGTAGAAATCCGAATTGAGGTCGAAGATGAAGAACACTTTCCCGGTGTACAGAGAATCCAAGATACCGTCCACTCGAGGGAGAGGTTGTCCATCCAAATCCACCAGAGCGTTGAGACGTTTGTAGTTGACGGTGATGCGAACAGATCCGTCTTCTTGGGGATGACAACTAAAGGAGAAGCCCACGGAAATGTGGAATGTTGAATGAGCCCTGCCGCCAAATACTGGTCCATAACGGCATCCACTTTCTTTTGCATCAACGGGTTGATACGATACGGGCGTGATGCAACGGGCTTCGTCCCTGCTGGGACAGGAAGCGTGAACGGCATGATGTGCAGGAACCAAAATCGGTTTCGAAGTAGAGAACACGTCAGAATACTCCACAAGGGCGTCGGCCAAACAATCAATAGCCTCCGGTGTCCATCCCGGATTGTGTAGATCGAAAGCGATGTCGTGCATATGTGCGGGCAGCCTAGCCCACAAGCGCACGAAGCTGGAGCGCTGTGCCTCAGAGAAGCGGTCAAGTAGTTCTTGTGGAGGCGGCTTCGGAGGAGGCGGGGCGGAGGCTGGGTCCGGAGAGCGGTGAGTCCCGGACTTGGGGCCAACGGCGTTGACCCGAGGTGGTGATGTAGATGTTGTGGGGCCGGTAGGAATCGAAGATGGTACCGCTTTCAGGGTTTCCACCAGTACTCGTAGTAGCGGCGCGGCAGACACTCCAATTACGTCTCCCGGCTCGAGCTCGGCATAACCTGCAAGGGGAATACGCTGGA